AAACATAGTGTGAGGTACACAGTGACTTGCCAGGTGACTGCCCTTTGGGGGGTTGGGGCTGGCTGGCACATAAGCTGGCATCTAAGGATGAGGGACAAAAAAAAAATGTAAAAACGGCATAGGATTAAAGGATGCATGTCGATGCAGGGTGGCAAAAACAGATTGAAATGAGGCAATACACGTTTGCAAGTCCGGCTTCAGGGCGCTGCCATCTCGCCTGTCTGGGGTGCGCTTGGACCAGTCATAATCCGATTACGAAGCCTTGCTAAGGCGTCGTAATCGGATTATGGCCGCTCCCGAGAGCGCACCCCACTGAGGAAGATGGCGACGCCCTGAGACCGGACTTGCAAACGTGTATAGGAGAGCAACTATGGTTGAAGGATTTTGTGATCTATGGGTTTGTCGATATGCATCTTGGAGCCTGCCGCGTGACTTTGTAATCCTTGCTAGGGATGTTGCGAACTTCCCGAAGTTCATGTTCAAAAGGTTTCAAAATGTTTGAACCTCGCCAAGGTTCGAATTTGAAAAGTTGGCTACTTTAGAACCCCGCTGAGGTTCGAAATCGGATAATTTGAAAATGTTAGGGTTTCTGAAAGTTTGAGTTCGAAGATATCAAATTTTTTATATGTAGTTTAAAAAATTCGAACATTTCGAATTTATGCAAGATCCAAGTTCGAAAAATCAAATATTTAGAATTTTTTCGAGGTACAAGTTCGAAAGTTGCGATTTTAAGTCCCAAGTCTGATTTTCACGGATGGAAATCAACTTTCGCAGTTTCATATTAAGTTTTCATAAATGAATCTAAAAAAAATTGTAAAATGTGCTACAAATTTTACTGAGAATGTTACCCATCTCTCTTATGCAGTGAATATACTCCTTCCTTCTCAGTGCTGTGGTACTGATGATACTACCCATATTGCTCCTTATATTGTATGTTATGAAACAAGCATTGAACTGGTTGAACAGTTCATTGAAAAGTGCTGAGGGTGAAGGTACTTCCTACTTATTTGCAAACTAGTAGCAATCCTATCAAACATCGCCTAAAAGCAATGCTGGCATAAGGCAACTAAATATGCAGGACAACGCATTCCCATAAAGGCGTCCAAGCTTTCTGAAAATTTTAGTGGCCCTGGGCATTTATATTTGGCGGGATGACCCTTGGGATGGAGAAAACACTGAGCACAGGCACAGCACCCGACACAAGTCCAGGTTAAGGAGAATGCAACCAGACTAGATTAGGGAACCACCTGGCCTAATACAGCTGATCATGTCACGACCGGTTATTATCGGGCTAACCATATTGCTGCTGCCTGGAACTTTTCTTTGATGAATGGAGATGTTGGCCACTCTGAAGTGCAGCCGGTTACTGATTATAATGAAGCACTGATTCAGCATTCGCTGTAGCGCATTGGCGTTGCTCGCCGCACACGCCTTTCCTTGACGCAAAGAAATTGAGAGAGTTGCTTTCAAGAAACACGACCGTAATACCCCCAAAAGATAACCCACCCCTAGTGTTGGCACGTTTTGCTATTCTTTCTTAACAACACCAAAAAGTAGCCCACCTCTAATAATTCCAGGGCTCTGGTCCATGGCCACAGCGGGAGCTAAGCTAACATTGAAAATTGAGAAGGACTGTTTTCTGTGCTCCATTGCCCCTCAATGTGAAAACAAGCATGGCAGGTCACAATATATAGAAGCAGCATTCGTAAAAAAAATGTCTTAATTGTACACCGAAAGTTAGCTTACTCCTCAATTTCACCCAATTTGCTTTCGCTTTTATGTAGGGTTTCCCGTGGGATATTATGGTAATGCTATGAAGGATGCTCCCAGCGAAGCGCCTCGGTTGAATTTCAAGTCGAAAGAAGAAGGTGTGAGGTAATTGAGGCCGAAGCCAACCCAAAGCGATCATTCGGCGCTTTACAAGCGCGTCGTTTGTGGCACGATCAGCTGACAGCAAAACTGAGTGCAATATCAACTGCACTTCACACATTGACATTTTGTGTTATTTATATTTATTGCCCGGGACCTATGGGAGTCAACTTCGTTCAAACTTCGTCGAACCCTCTTCAGAAGTTCGAAGTTCATAAAACTTTTAAACTCGGCAGATTCGAAAGCTCGAAAATTGTCTAATTTCTTAACGTAATAAGTATTGAAAATGTTTAATTTCATAGCGTGAAAAGTCTGAAGACAAAAACAATAGAATTTCTCAGCGCCAAAAATTCAAGATTACGAAAATCGTTGAATTTTTTATGTAATAAGTTTGACGTTTTGAAACTTTGCAAACCTTTCGACCCCTTGGCAAAAAGTTTGTGGCATCTCTAATCCTTGCTATGCGTGGGACTGGAGTGTTCTTTAGAGTACCAGTGAAAGAAAGGAGGAAGGAATCGGATTCGACCCTTTATTAGAAAAGTTTGTTTGGTAATGGGCAAGATAGGAATGTGCTGAATAGTGAGGACTCCCAGATAACTTAGCTTGTTATCGAACACTTCTTGATTTGGTATGACTATGGATGGGAATGAATGCTAAAAAAAATAGAGTAAAGGGGTCAGTGAGATGTACTTCAAACGACCTTACTAAAGCAAAGGGTCATGAAGTAGTTGGGACGTGGCGTTGATTGCATGTCAATATTACCCGTTTTAACCTCAAAAAACAAAAAAAAAAATTATTTTTTTTTTGCATTGTATATACGCGGCGCAAAGTAATTTTTGCGAGATTCAGTTGCCGGAAGAAAAAGCGGTGCTTTTGGCGTTTAGAATGCGTACTTCTTCATTAGATAACATATATCTAACCTAAAATTCACCTACACGCATCTTCGGTATCCACATAAAAATAGAGTGGCCAAATTCCTCAAGGTAGAAACGGGACATCCCAGCAGAAGAGGGGGGAGGAGGGTGAGAAAGGGGGAAAGGAGAGGGGGGGGGGGGGGGGGCGTACTAAAATTTAAGATTGGGAGAAAAAAATTAATAAAATTCTACATGCGTGCTATATCTACACGATTCTGCATCCGTGCTATGCGGAGGGCAAGTTCGTCTGCTTCTTGCGCAGGGGGTAGCGTTGCAACGTGACGTTGCAAAGGAGCAGACGACGCTCAGATAGGGGGTCGCGATCAGCCAATCAGGGTTCGGCGTTCTGACGTCACCGCTACTTCCTTTCTCATGCGCAGAAGACGAAAATGAGCCCACTTGCGAGGCGTATATCCAATAAAAAAAAATTCCACTCACGCGTCTTTGCGAGAGAAAATGTAATTGTGGGAAAGAACAGTTCTAAATTTTAATCTCTGGGTAAATATTTTAAAGTACCTACGGTTATTTTTTGTAAAATATACTTGTAACTAGGGGTGTCGCGAACCGGCCGCGGTTCGAGTTCGACCAGGTTCGACTTTTTCGGACTTTTAGTGGAAAGTTCGTCGAACCTTGTATTGAGGTTCGACTCGTGTGCGCATGCGCGACAGGCTGGCCAGTTGGCTTCGGATTGGATGGTAATGGCTAAGAGATGAATTAAGTGCAGCGCTGATCCGCTATTTCAGTCAATACAGTACTAAAATTTAAGTTATTAACTTCTTCAGTGAATAGAATTAGTTTCTTTCAATTGCAGCTGTTCACAAAATAAAATAACCCTTTGCATAAAAAACAATTTCTCCAAACCTAGACATGCTTGTATCAAGGTCTGGCCACACTGTCCACAAAGTCGAACCGGTCGAACTTGGTGAAAAGTTCGAAGGTTCGTCGAACCGGTTCGACCCAGTCGAACCCCCAAAGTTCGACCAAAAAATCTGGTTCGACAAAAGTTCGCGACACCCCTACTTGTAACGAATAGGCTCAGTTTCGGTTTGCTTCTCCTCGCTTGGTGCCGATTTCGAAACTATGTACTCCCGAGTCCTGTGAAAACGGGACAAGTGGACCTCAAAGACGGGACTGTCCCGGCCAAAACGGGACGTCTGTTCACCCTATATAAAGGGGGAAATTAGTAATGCTCCGCCAGGAGCCGGACTTTTTCTCTTTTTTTACTACGGTTCTTGAGGCGAAAACAGGTACACCGTACAGGTGGCGCAAGACATCGTCTAAATGAATTGGTTCAGCCGCATTCATTTGTCCAGTCGAATAATATTCAGTTTTGTTTGAAATATGTCGCTTGTTCCCCACCTGATGATCACAGGTCCTATTTTATCCCACCATAATACTAGAATTAAAAGGCCTAAACTTCTTAATGTTTTTATTACCGTCAAGATTAACTACGGTGGATAGATGGCACAAGCCGCCACCTGATTCAAATGGTTTATCCGTTTACACTCGTTCGTAGCAGCAGAGATCAGTGAGCACAGTCTGAGTGAGCAGAGCCAGTGAGCGCAGTGTTGATAGGTATTCCAAGTTCTAAGGTTGACTGTACGCAGCGATACCAGCGGTACTCTAAGGTTTAATGGAATGTGCTGTGCAATTAAGAAGGTTATAACCACAGTGGTTATAACTAGTGCTACTGCTATGCACTGTAATGTTGTCCACTGCTGTGCGTCGCGCTGCCAACGCCTTCCGCAGGTACTGTGCCCAATCGTAGAGCAACAGTCTGCCTGATCCCGTGCAACAATGGCATCGCAAGCTGAGTGCAGGCGACGGTCTGACAGGCGCCTTGGAAGCCAGGCCAGCCAGGCTTCTAGGCTTTGTCGTGAACCGAGCGGCCGTCAAATGCAGCAGTGAGGAGCCCGCGCGAGACACTGGCATGCACCTCGCCTCCAAGCTGCCCGCATCAACCCTGTGTCGGACTGCTCTTGCTGTTGTGGCGTTTGTGGCCGCCTTCGCCTTCATCCTGGTGAGCTACTTCGGCGGCGGCTCGTCGACGCGCCTCTCGTACCGCTGGGTGCGCCTGCAGCCTTCCGCTCGCCGGACTGCGCCCCAGGCCCGGCCCGCCAACGGCAGCACGGCACGCGTCTTCGACATGGACGGCTCGGACGTGATCGTGTTCCTGCAGATCCAGAACGCCGGCGCCAACTTCTTGGAGCGCCGGCTCATCGAAGACCTGGACCTAGCGCGGCCGTGCGTCTGCCGCAGGGGCAGGAAGCTGTGCCGCTGCCGCCGGCCCCACAGGGCGGGCTCGTGGCTCTTCAGCCGCTACACGCTGGGCTGGAAGTGCGGAGTGCACCCGGACTGGACCGAGCTCGTCGGCTGCGTCGACCGGGTGCTCGACGAGGACGAAGGGAGCCCCGTTAAGCGGAGGTGAGACTGGGAGCCGATTTAAAGGCCACGCTTGGCGCTTTCCACTTTTCCTCACTTCCCTCTCTACCTTTTAGCTTGCGGAGAGCCCCTCCCCCCCCCTTTTCCTTCTCCCCCCCCCTCACACACACACACACACACACACACACACACACACACACACACACGGGCTACTTTTTTTTTTATTGCAGAAAAAGCATACATCTCATTTTTTTTTTAGCAAGAAATGTGTTGTTTTTGGTAAAATGGCAGTTATCTTTGGTCCGTGACATCTCAACCGCTGCTGGGTGGAACCCTCCACACAAGCGTTAAGTGGAAGAACACGCTCCAGCACGGAGCAGCCAGTGGGCGGGCAGGCGGTAATGAGCGTTTCTTTTCTGTGTCTCCTTTAACGATGCTGCGTGAACTCCGTTTCAAACTTAAAATGGACCGTAGCAACTGCTACGAGCTATACCAGCCTATCCAGCATAGTGAACACATCCCGTAACTATGCGCCCCACGCTCCCCTGCGCCTTCTTGAGGGTCACGTGATATTCACGCAGCACTGAACTGGCTTCGGTGGCTTGTGGCGTCCTCTGCAGCCCATTGTGGAGCTTATCATACTTTTATATGGCGAGCAAGTCGATTCAAATCGTCCCTTCGCACGCGTCAGATGCGAGGTACAAAAGAGCAAGGTGCCTCTCTACGCAGAAGACGAGGCATGAAAAGGTGAGGAATCGCGTGTGCAACAAAGTTCTACCACAGACGCCATTCACTTCGGTGGTTTGCGAACAATATCTTTGTCGAGGGTTCTTCGTTCGTCATATAGCGAGTTCATTTCACTTCACTTGTGCCCACATGCGTTCACTCGCGGCGTGGAGAGAGTTCTTTTTGGCTGGCACTCCACGAGTTGCTGCAGTTTCTGAGTATGTTTTGGCGCCGGCACTCTACGCGTGCTTCCGTTTGCCACACCGAGAGAATCTAGCGTGCACCAGAATGCAATTTTGTCTTGCATCAGTCAAGGAAGGAGCAAGAGCGGACGACGGGGGTTTGTCTGTTACTGCTACGAGTCACCATTCGCACAAAGCGGAACAGGAGAAAAAGTGGAATTTTTGTTAGAAATTGTGTTCTGCGAGAGACGGGATCGAACTCGAGCTTGAATTGTGACTTTCTACTATTTCATGATGGAAGCAATCGACAGCCCACACTCTTGCAAATTTTGTTGCTGTGCAGCCACTGGTCCACTTATCACTAAAAGTAGGCTCAGGGCAAACGCACCAGCAACCGCGAGATCTCTCTCGTGGGTGTAAGAGTGAAAAGCTATCTCCAAAACATGACCAGTTGTGGAGTCACGAGGGGACAACATTTGTCGATGAAGCTCGCGCAATCGAGGAAGCTAAACATCGGGATTTTAAGCAATGCTTGGGTAAAGTCATCATGTTTAACATTTACCTGCACCAGTTATTTTGCAGCCTCGTTTTTCGTTCGAGAAAGCTCTTAATCTAACCAATCTCATTAGACATAAAAGCTGACCCCGCTGTATGCGACCAAGGATTGAAATTGAAAATACCGCGATATGTTCTCGCTGGAGATTTGAGCGGACTAGATTGAAACCGTATTCTTTCAGTGGTTCACGCTTAAAACTGATTAAGCTTCCGCACGATTTGTGTCATCAGTGTTTTCTCTTGTGTAGACAGTTATAAGAATTTAAAAATTGCTTGCCTTTTGTTTTTTCTAATTGTTATTTTGTTGTCAGCTTGTGGCAGAAACACACATTGTAAATATCTCCATGACAATCGAGTTGTTTAGTTAAGTCAACGCGAATATAAACATTGCAGTGCTTGTCAGTTCCATTTATTCTTATGTAATGCGCTATCCCATTGTTTTTGTTTTTTTTTCTTTCAAAGTAAATTAGAAAGAAGTTAAGCACAGACCCTACAGGGGATGTTTTGCTGCTGCTTTGTGTGTACTATTAAGGCATTGCCAGCGATATGGGCACATTGGGACCACCCACTGGGACGGCCGATGTCCACTTTATGCCGCGCCGTTTTGATGCGACTGAAGTGCAAGGGACCTTTCTCTCTAAATTATTGTTTTAACTCTATGTGTACAGCGACTACAGAGATCCGTCCCTTGATTGGCATCGAGCCTTTGCAGAACGAGCTCGTCATGTTTTGTCATGCTGCGACACACCTGTCGAATATGACCCGAACTTTGCGTCTTTCCAGGTACTTCTACATCACGGTGCTGCGGGACCCCGTGACTCGGTTCCGCAGCGAGTGGCGCCGCTTCCACCAGAACCGGGGCTGGCACGGGGCACGGCCGCACCCCTGTTCCGACGACTCGCCAGCGGACGCCCCCACATGCTTCGAGGCCCGCCGGCCGGACAACGTCTCCTGGGCCGAGTTCCTGGCGTGCCCGGCCAACCCGGCCCTCAACCGGCAGACGCACATGCTCGCTGACCACGGCCTGGTTGACGGCTGCACCCGCAACGGCTCCGTGGATGAGCCGCTGGCCGGCGGCGACCGCGACACGGTCTTGCTGGCCAGCGCCAAGCGCAACCTGCGCCGCATGGCCTTCTTTGGCCTGGCCGAGTTTCCCCGGCTCTCGCAGAGCCTCTTCGAGGCCACCTTTGGCGTCCGGTTTCGGCGGACAACAGTGCGGCAGCGGGGGTTCCTACGGAGCCGCTGGAAGGGGCGGCCGCGGGGTCCCCGTGGGGATGCAGAGGCCGTCGCGTCTGCCAACGTCCTGGACGTGCGATTGTATGGCTACGCCAAGGAACTGCTCTTCTCACGGTTCCGTGCCCTCAAGGAGTCTAACCCCGACGCGGAGGAGGACAAAGCGGCGGGCGAAGGGAACTGGGCCGAGGAAGAAGACTTCTTCGACAACCTTTAGGTGCGGCCGAGTGCCTCACTACGGCGTTCGTAAAGCGTCTCCGACCGGTTTGCATACTGCGTCCTCGAATGTGGTCCCTCGACTTCGGCCCGGCAGCGTCGTACGAGCGTTGCACTGACCCCCACCAGGATCCTGGCAGTAGTACGGCAGCGAAAGGGGATGTGGCAGGCGCCGTTTTAGCCGTAGGATGCTCTCTAACTTGACAGTGCACGGATGCTTTGGCAGCCAGAAGTTGGGGCGCCATGACGATGGCGACTCGCATTCGCTCATACTTTTTGCCACGACTTCTGTGACCAACTGCCAGGATCACAACGACGTCGCATGCCAGCCTTTGTGACACCATTTGCTGCCACTTTGGGACCACTTTCGGCGTGTGGTGGGTGATGTAGGACGCCAAACGTACCAGTCCAAGACGTGATCCTTGCATCGTAGCCCACCGTGGAAAGAGGGGGACGCTTTCCATGGCCCCTCTCGCCTCCCGTTCACTCCTGGGCCCGCCCGTTCGTTGGTTTGTTGTCATATTTGCCCTCTCCGATGTCTTCTAACAGTGCCTTTTCTAAAGAAGGGAATTGCTAAGTTATATCTTTGCAAGTTTCGATAGTTGGCTTGGGTTGTTTTTTTTTAATCGGCCTCCCGGTGTATTTTTTGCAGTATACGAGCTTTTGCGAGGCCGCTGCAAATTGAGAAGGTGTCGTCTCGAACCCGCATCGTCCCCACGCCACGTCCGGTGTCAACGCTCCCTATTGGGCGAGTGGTCAAAGTGTGTCGTACGGTGAAGAGGAGGAACGAGGTTGAGTTGAGCTGGGCCTCCATTGGTGCACTCGAGAAATGGGCAACTTTTTTTGCGCATTTCTTACGCTATTTGCAAGATTGATAGTCTAATTTGTTGTGGCACGCTGATTCCCCCATTTATGTGTGTGCGATCGGACTTCCCAGTGTGATGGTGAGGATCGCTGTGTTTTGCTCGTACGAAGTGTGCACCTGCCCACGCCTTCAAACTTTCAGCAAGACTCCTGATAGGTAGCTGGCAAACACATGCATGTGTTTTTATATATGGCATTTGTAGACACGTATTTAGGGCTCCCGATTTGTGTGGGTGCATCAAAGATGGTTGTTTTGTAAATATGCCAGCAATGCATTTCTGGCCACTTATACTAGTATATTTTTACCCTCTTATGTAGAGGTGTGCGAATATTTGGAACAGAATAATTCGTAAGGCTGTTGGATTTGCAGGGCTGCTGGATTATATTTTCAAGGCTGTTGGATTATATTTTCAAATATTGAATATTTGAAAATTTTAATTAATGTCTTCAAAACTCCACTTATTTCTCGAATCGAGCTTCACCGTTTGGACCAGTGCTGTCACGTCGGGCTTTGCACTGGCGCTTGTCCATCAAGCTTCATTGCCTTGCACCGGCGTGGTCGGAGAAGCGGCTCACATGGAAGCGCATCTTGATTAGCTCGATGATCTTGGAAAATTTTCTTACTATTGTAGATTGATTTGAATGTATCAATCTATAGTTGGTTTTACTTCATGCGCGAGCGAAGCTGAAGCTACAAGCATGAGCATGTTGCCCTATACAGTGCTTTCACCGCACGAGCGCGCAAGCTTGGCTGGGATGTCGAAAGCTCGGAGCTCACACTTGTTGCTTCTGCCACGCTAGCGCTTAAAGGCTGACGTACACTGCACTTTCCCGTTTTGCCCGCTTCCTTCTGATATCCTCTCCACACTTTACCTTGCCCAACTTGTTTCCCCCTCGTAGCTTAGGAGAGGGGAGTGCTAAGAAGATTATCTTCCCTGCAGAAAACCGAGGTTGTATGTCAGCCTTTAAAGAGAAACGGAATATAACAGTGAGACGAGCCAACCACACCGTTGTTTAACTACGGTTGTACATAGCGTGCGCTTAGAAGCCTCAAGGCCCCAAGGTACTATTGGCAAAACAAATTTCAGCCACAGTGTATTACACTATCCAGGCTCGATTTACGCAAAATATATTTCAAAATATCTCATTTGATTGGCACTAAATTTTAAAAAAAATTCATATTTGATTCAAAGTAAAAAGAAAAAACTGATATTTGCACACCTCTACTCTTACATTGTTACCTGCATTCAATCTAGCCCTATGCGTTAATGGGTCTGTATACACAAGTTAATTTATTATTCTTTACCCTGTTTGACGGAGCGTTGGTTGGTCCAGCACTGTGTGTTCCAGCCTTGGCTATGCTGCAAGTCGCGTCCGACATCACAGTGCTCGGGCTGAGGGCGCGGGTTGTCAATGGATAAACCCATGTTGTAACTACTCGTCATTAGGCTACAAACTTTCTGGGCCTAACTATAACTGGAAAATCACTCTTGATGTTGATTTACCTGTAATAAATTGGTGAAATTTTCCAACTCCCTCTTCTTGGATAATGGGCAAGCACTGCTGCTCCCAATTCCACGACGACGCCTGCGCAGATTTTGTGATTTTGGATTGTTGCCACGGCAGAATGGGACGTACATCTCTCCATTTTTAGAAAAAGTTACTTTACCTTCTCTACTTGTGGTCGAGTTAGAGCCACTTCAGCCATCTCTTGGTGGTTGAAATCATTGTTGCTGGTGGTCCGAAGCTTTCTTTGAAACCGCCGGACACGCTTTTCCGATTCCGGAACCCTTAAAACAGTTTGCAACAGAGAAAAATGCTATTGCCATTTTTCATGTCGCAAATCGCAGATCAAATCACATTTTTCAGTTGTTTGCCAATTCTGCCTGTTCATAGCACAATCCTTGTGCCTTCTCTTTGTTGCATGAGTAGTCAAAGCCTGGCGGAAGACAACTAGTACATATAGGAACAGCTTCTACCGGCTTCTTCACTTTTTAGTGCATCAAGAGAAAAAGGAGGTTTTACGGATCGCACGTGCACTGCACGAAGTACTTACATTTGGTAGTCGGAGGAAGGAACAATGTTTTGGTCATTAGGAACGTGTATGTCTTGATAGAATGATGCAACTCTAATTTAAGATACTCCTACATTATATCGTAATTCAACCTATGAAGGGAGAAAACCTTCCGCGGGGAGCCCGACTTTTTTTTTACTGCAGTTCTTGAGGTGAATACAAGCACAGTGAATTTTTAGCCCGTCACCGGCTGTACGGCGTGCAAGTTCGTCTGCTCTTTCTGCACCTCATACTTTCGTTTACGCCCCAGATGCGCGCACATGCTTTTGTTTCCCCCTGACCTCGACCAATGACGGTGCCTGCTTGCCTGCCTCCTTGTAGCACATTCTCTATGTTGCCTTTTGGTAGGGGTGCCCCTTCCTGCGTTCTAATGTGCCAAAGACCCATTTAGAACACTTGCTCTCCTTATAGCCCACAAGGTAATCAGGATAGAGTGCCGATACCTTACCTAGTGGCTCTGTACTGAATCAGTCTGGATTTGGGTTGCAGATTTGGTCCAGTCGGCCAGACTCTCGCATCAGTGCTATTGGCGACAAGTAGAGAGCCTCTAGCAACGAGATGTCTCCGTGGCACCACCTCACGGGCAATCTCCTGCGATATAGCGAGTGCGATTCAAGCAGACGACGCGCCAAGTAATCACACAAAGTAATTATGTTGGTTCTCTTCCATGTCGATTGATAACTCTAACTTATTTTTTAAAGCATATGTGAAGTGTCTAGGAGTTTTTTTCCTACTGAATTATCGTATCTTCGAGCCTCTTTTAAAATATACAATCTTTAAAATACTCAAAAATATGTCTGAAGCTTGACGTGTCAGCACGGCGTGCGTCACCGCGTCCGATTCTTTTTTTGTTAGATCTGTGGAGATTATAGTCAAAAATTTTGTTTTGCCATCACCAGAGTGGGACGTGCTGTCACCTTAGCTGTGCAGGTGCACCCTGTTGTGTTGCATGGCACAGCACATGTTTTGGCTGCTGTGGAGCTTGCGGCCACCGACGCCTCCGTCACGATTTCACTGTCGCTGGCGACTATTTGTACAAAATATCGTGCAAAACCAGTCTCAGTGATTGTTTTTTTTTTTCTTTTCTTATTAAGTGGCCTCTTTCTTTTTTGAAATGAATGTGTGGCAAGGAAGTTTCCGGCATCGAGACTTCTGCTCGAAAGAAAAAGCTGAAATTCCCGTAACTTTCTCTATCCAATTTTTTTTTAGGATGAATTATAAATTAAAGGTTCTTGCTGAGGAGTGCATCACACATTCTGAAGAAATATTTTTTGCGTTTGCAAATACAAACAGGGAAGCCGTGGGGGAACCATAACAGGTGTATAACTCCTTTTTAGGATGCCCAAGTACCGCCGATAGATATCTTACAGGCGTCGATCGCGGAGTTGGTTTCGTATGTTGCGTTGAACGAGCACATGAGCAGGCATAAGCGACTCTGGGAGTTCACCATCTCTTCCAGCCAGCTGTTTTGGGGAACATATGTGTGTTAGTTTGCAAAATGCAAAAACAAACTAATAAAAACCAGCCCTTGCATGTATCACAGTGCAGGGGCGGATCCAGAAATCCATTTTAGAAGGGGGGCAGGAAAATTTGTAAGGATACTGTTCTCTCATTGTTTCTTGTGCACCTGGGGGGTCCATCCATGTCAAATTGCCCTCCGAGAAGGGGGGAAGGGGGGGGCGGTCGACTTTGTTTGGGGAGGTGACTGCCTCCGTCGCCCCCCCCCCCCCCCCCCCCCTTCCGTTGGATCCGCCCCTATCACAGTGGAACCAACAGTGTACACAAAATCCCTTTAATTGAAGTATTTACTACCCATGCAGTTTGTGATGAGTTGTGGCAGCAAGAAGTCTTTGGTCTTGAAGCGAACAAACACTTGCGCTGAACCGAGAAGTGCCTTCTCCAGTCCAGGCGCACAGCTGAGGAGGGTTATGGGGCCACACCTTGCAGTACGTTTCCTCGCTGATCAGGGTACACGAGGCACCGAAATCCACTTCAAATTCTAGTGGTTTGCCTTCAATCTTCAATGTCGCATGGAATTTTGGACGCGGACTGTGCGGTGTCAGCCTGTTGAGCTCATGGTAAAAATCTCCATGTACCTCTCGCTGCCAATTGACTGCTGTGGGCGTGAAGTCCACATTTTGCTGACTGCTTTTGTGGCTTGCACTTTTAGCTTGCTTTCTCTTCGTGATGCAGGCTTTCTCGATGTGTCCACGCTTGTGACAGTAACGGCACTCCTCGTTGTGAAATCTGCAAGTCGAAGGACTGTGCTGGCCTTCACATCGAAAACAAGGTCGAGTAGACGATCACTCGGAGTTCTCAGCTTTTCTCTTCGATGTCTTGTGAACTAGGGGAGGTCAGTCTTATGCTTGATGCTCTGTTGCTGTTTTGAAGCGCTTTCGACTCTGGTTGCGAGCTCGAAAGCCTTCTCGAAAGTGAGATCCCTTTCTGCGAACAGGCGCTGCTGCAGGAACTCGTCCTTTACACCACAAACAAACCTGTCACGTAGCATGACGTCTAGTGGCAGTTTGGTGGTATGTATGGGCGTCATCGTGGCTGCTTGACCCGACGAACCCATTGTCGATACGGCAGTTGTGGTCGCTGTTGTCACTATTCCAAAATTGCAGTCGGCTGCAAGTTTCCTTAGTGCCGCGACGTAGCTGCTAATCGACTCGCCTTGCTGCTGATCTCGACGCTGGAATTGGTAGCGACTGTAGAGTTCACATAGTCGAGGATCGAAATGTGTTCTCGGGGTTGAGACCAGTTCTTCAAAACTGACATCTCCTGGTGTTCTTGGTGCAACTAGAGCACGAACGTCTCCACGCCACACAAGGTTAGTAAAAGTGCACGTTTCTTCACCAAATTGGTGATCGAGTTGGCCACAAAGTCGAAGCTCAGCCGCTCGCTCCAGGAAGACCAGCACTTGCCCGTGAAAACTTTGATTGTCCACTCCGTCGTCATGACTTGTGGCCCGGTGTCCCACCGTAGAAGTCGGGCTTCGTAGGTTCGGATCCAGCTCCTCTTCGCCAATGTTAAGTTGGGCATCTCGGCCCGTATATGGAGGGAGACTGCTTCCATCGGTGGCCGAGTATGAACTGCTTTTATTCCCACGATATTCGTACAGCCAAGCCTGCTCGCGTCACGGGCGGCTCGGGTAACCCGATCTCCGGATGCCGCGGCGGCGGAACGGCAGCACTACGTGATCGCCGGAGTGGCGCCGTAGGGAGTTCCACAAAGCGGCGGAAGGTTGCTCGTTATTATACACAACAAGATGTATTGGTGCCACCTCGCGGGCGGCCTCCTGTGATGAAGCTGGCAGGATGCGAGCTGACGATGCGCTACGTTAACGCATAGAAAGGCTATGTTAGTTCGAATCTCTGCAGATTAAAAACACTTTATTTAATAAAGAAACTTGTTTAACGTTTTTGTAAGCGATATATTTCTAATGAATAACTGCACCTCGAAGTTGCTTTTGATATTAAAAAAAAAACATTAAAATGCCCCGAGACAAGCCTGAAGCTTCACGTTACAGCTTCCGCGGCGTGCGCCAGGGCTATTCACAGCCACTGACTCTTTTTATTTTTTAATGCGAAAGCATTAACTGTTTTATGGAGCGAGCTGACGTCATCAGTTTAAAGCACGAAAACAGCACCTAGTTTCCACGATCCCAATAGGAGCGAAGTAAAGCTGATAGATTTTGTCTTCGGTTCCATTGGCTGGCACGCGCCGACGGGGCTCTCATCGGCCACTGCGCTCGTCAGTTAGCACGACCGCTCACCCCATGGCGCTGCGTGTCCATCAGCACACCACTAACGCGGAGCGTCCAAGGTCAGCATGCCTGGGGGAGCACGCGTGCTGACCGGCGATGAAAAGTATGCAGCAGACGAACAAGGGAGTGGACGAGCGGCTTGCATGCTTTCGCATTCATAACTTGTAAGAAATGCTTAAGTGTACTCGAGTTTTTTTTGTTTTTTTTTATCTGTGGGGGTTTGCTGTAGCAAAAGGGTTTGCATTCCCCAGAGTAAATGACGTGCTGTCTTAGCTGTTCACGCACGCATAGTCGTGCTGCAAAGTGCCGCACACTTGTTTTGGC